ACGGTAGGGGCCGAGCCAGAGCTACCGGAAGTGCTAACCTCGCCCGAAGAGCGTGAACCGGAGTCGGAAGAGGAACCCGAGGAGGAACCCGAGGAGGAACCCGATGAACCCGAACCAGAACTTGACGAGATCTCCATCGAAACCATCGCGACAAGAACTCAAGACAAGAAAAAGAAGCAGAAGATGGAAGTTACCTCAGAGGGATTAGCCGAACTTGGGAGCGGGAGAAGACTTGAAGAGCTGCGGAAATTCGAAGACAAGAGAGCGGAAATCGGGAACCCTAACCCAGAGGGAAAACCCGGCATTTATAGGAGAGACACCAATGGGGGGACCAACGAGGGACGGACACGTGGCAAGGAGCGTATTCCGTCTCACGCGCTGTGCGTGGGACGAAAGCGTAATGATGGCATTTCCTCGGAAAATGCACCGCCGCTACAGCAGCCGTCACCTCGTTTCCTGAACCGTCAACAGCTGTTAAGCACCATGACCACGAGCGTACGCTTCCGCCAGATGCAATAAGACACAAGTGTCAAGACACGAACGTCCATTTCGGGGCATCCATACTTCCTTATGTCCTGCGCATGCCCAGAACATCAGAAGTGGGGGACTTGTGTTGGGATAATGGCCCAGGCCGAGGTCCGGCCCATTAACCCCTTTTTCTATCGGACGGACGTCATGCTAGGACCAGGCTGGGCGCAGGCCCATGACCCTTGGGAAGAGGCGAACGTCTGGAATTGGGGGGTCCAGGTTTCAAACGGCCCATCGCGACGAACGTATGTGCAGAGGCAAGGAGCAGGACCACGGGCCATCAGGGGTAACGACGAACGTCTCCTGAGCAAGCCCATAGTCATCGGAGGGAACCCAGTCCACATGGTGAGAATCCATCAAGGCCAGGAGACGAACAGCCGGGACCTCTTGAGGGTCACTTGGAGTGATCCAGCTCACTTCCCAGGCGGACGAACGTCCCCATTATTTAGGCGGGAAACCTAGATTCTGGCGGGAAGTGCATTTAATGCTGAAGATTTGGTGGTTGGGACACAAGCGGTCCACAGGCCTCCACGTCAGCATGGCCACCTGCCCATTGGCGGGTATAAATAGAAGCATTTATTTCATTGTAAAGGGTTGGCAACTTTCTATTATTAGCACTCTAGCTATAGCATTCTTACTCACAGCACTTCTACTGCCTTGTAAGACGAACGGCCGACGGGGCCTTAGCGAAAAGTATTGTATTAGGGAGTTATTAAGAGATAATAATACCTAATCAGTTACTCGCTACCTTACTGCCTTCCTAACCCATATCATCTGCTTGTTGGGCTAGTTTAATCACACACTCCATTCGAAATCCTTGGGCTTACGTGTTGGACCCGGGGGTTGAAGGAATAAACCCCAACAACCCTTATTACAACTATACCCTTATTATTATTCTTTCTATTATTAATCTAATAGGTAGGTCCCTATCAATACTCCCTCCCTAAACATCCACCTTGCCCTCAAGGTGGTCGGTAGGAGACAGCCAAGATCTTCTGTTTCTTTCTCTTCCTTGCGCTTCTACCTTCCCAGTATCTAACTGATTTCTGAGAAAAGAGATTCCATACTTGATTCTTCCAATTCACAGATGTTACTGCAGCATATAATATCTCTGATGAATTCTCATTTTCTTCCTTGGTCTTCAGGCCTTCAATAACCACAATTATTTCCTTGTCTTCCTGAGGTGTATCACCTACACCATTAGCAGAATTTATGTTCATGCCCTGAACCTCTTTGCCAGTGAGATGCAACACTGAAACCAAGCAACATTTAGTGCCTGAGAATTCAGAGTCAACTCCTTCAACATTACATGCATCCGTCCCAATTCTGTGGATTCCCATTCTGATTACAGGTGTATTCCCTTCTATCACTGTCATTTCATTAATGGCTCCATTTGCAATAGCAATGAAGTATGACAGCCCATCCCCATTCTCCTTACTCACTGCAAAGTATGCAAAGTATTTCTGGTGCTTCTGCCTGACCATTATTAGTAATTCTTCAGGAAACTTTAGGAAGGTGTCCTTAACTTTTCCAAGTACTAGCACAGGTGCTTCAACAAGATCCACTATTCCAGTTGTAGTTCTCATAACTGAGGAATAGGAAAACCTATTATCCATGCAAAACTTCCAAAGTTGGTTTTCTTGAAGATAGACAAATTCTTCACCAGAAGAAAACATTGCACTTATCAAGACTTGTTTCAATTTCATCTGTCCATTTGCTTCAGCTTCCAATCTGTTCACAGTAGCCTGAGTAGTAGGATCCCAGGCCATACTGATTTTATCCAACTGATATGCAAAAGTATCAGCAACATACTTCCCCATCCATCTCCAAAAAACAACTGTGCTCAACACATTTTCCTCTTCCCAGTTCTTATCTCTTTTCATGAGTATTTTGTGTCTTGGACCAATACTTGTCTTAAGAAACTTGTAATCAAAACCTACGCTTCTATCTTGAACAGGTATACAATCTACTGGCAGTCCCCTAACCACTTCACCAACTATAATGGCCTCAGGGAATTGACCAGGATTGAGATCTTTACCCAACATCCGATACATGACAACTCCCACACCAGACACATATCCCTCATAGTCTGTAATATTCCCAGAAAATTCTCCTTCCAACCCATTTTGATTATTTGTCATAGAAGTAACACCCTCACATTTGAAACTATCAAACTTGTTCAATGACTTCAGCCCTTCCAAAGTAATGTTTAATATATGACAGTCCATCATTACGAATTTTAAAACATTAAGCCAGTTCCTCTCCTGTACAAACCCAGAAGTCATTGTGGACTTCGCCACACAATGATCACTATCATATACCTGCAGAATGTCAACTTCGCTATTTTCTGAAACTGTTGGTGCCGCTTGCTTCAATTCAGTATGAATTTCCTGAATTATAGTCCCTGTTAATCCTTTTCCTGATGCGACTATGGTTATAAATTCTGAAACGGATGATTCATGTGGGCATGTTGATACTAACACACTGTGAGATATGGCTTGCAATGACATCTGCGAATCAAGAGACAAGTCTGGTGCAGGGTAAGAATCTACTTGCGTAGAAGATGCTCGGTTATCAAGGGCAAACTGAGAGAAACAGTTCAACTGTGAACTAGGGATTTCTTCTCGAGTCGAAGCCAAAGATCCTGAATAAGTATCTTGCGTCTGAGCAGGCGAATCGGAAGATTCTTCTTTCATTCGTGATTCTTTGTTATGCGAATTCATCGCTGATGGGGATGCCTGCGGAATGAGTCCCGCTGTTTCTGATCGCTGCGATCCATGACTCGAAGTTCCCGATTGCGAAATGGAACCAGCTGCTAGTGACGACGAATTGTCAGAAACCGCTAACGACGATCTTGAACTTGCAGGTCTAGAGTTCCGACATCGCTTTATGGTCCTCGATCTTCCTCGCGACTGCAGATTTTTTATTTACACGGTTAATTTGCGTATCTCTTCGCAAAACCGCCTGGTATCTTCGCTCTTCTTTTCGCAAAACCTCCTGTTTTCTTCGCACCTCTTTTCCCAAAACAGCCCCCAATCTTCCATCGTTCCAGTACAGGACTACAGGTGACAAGATCGTTTGCTCTGATACCAATGATAGATTACCTCCAGTTAACCAGCACAAATTACAGAAAGAGATGAAGAATTCAAACAGAATTTTATTAGAGAAGATGAACAGTACACAATCCATGTCCCAAGACTAATCGTCTAAAAGCCTGCCTACTGACTCCCCTTTTCATCTATTTATACTACAATACTGCATATACCCTTATTACAACTATACCCTTATTATTATTCTTTCTGTTATTAATCTAATAGGTAGGTCCCTATCACCGCTACATGGTTAGCGATTCGCGTTCCTCTTTCAGGGGTGACCGTCTCTAAGTCTGATCATAGGGTTTACAGTCGTAGTTGTTGAAATTTAGTTGGTGTCAGTTTTGTTTTTCCTTTGATTGATGTAATGATCCTGAAATTTATGATATGAAAGAAAGTTAGTTGACATTAAAAAAAAGGGCCTTTGAACTTAAATGTAGCATATTGTAAGTGTGCTTTGAGAAGGTATTAAAAAACACGCATACTGTAAGTGTGCTTTGAGAAGGTATTAAGGCTCTGTTCGCAATCTCTGTAGATAAGTACTTTTGTTTTTTTTTAAGAAAAAACACTTATTTTATCAAACACTACCAACTTTTATTATCTCGGTTTTCGTGTAGAATCTACTTTTTACTTTTTCTATTACACAAAAAGCACTTATTTTACCAAACACTACCAACTTTTACTACTAATCACTTTTCCCAAAAAGTGCTTTTATTTAAGCACAAGTGGTTGCAAAAAAAGCCTAAAAAACACGCAGTTTTACAAACACTGTGTTTTTGGCTTTGTTTTTAAAACTGCACATTAACCCACATTTGAAGTGAAGTTTGTTTATTGGTACAGGTTTTTCAGTTATAAGCTTCATTTTTTAACTGAATTTTATGTTTATAGAAACAGCCAGTTTTTAAAGTGCAGTTTTTTAAGTAATATAAGCTGCAATCTTAACAACAATTCTGGTGGATATTTAAAGGCAGATTTTTAAACAGCCTGTGTTTATTAGTTGCAGAGCACAATCTATTTTAATTACAAGGAATAATGTTTTAATCAAATTAAGAGATTACAGACAGGCCATTGCATCACTTGGGGCAAATGTAAGGATAGGCTAAAAATGTATCTTTGCACCAATATTATGTGGTCGAGTTCATCAATTTGCTGCGAAAGAGGCTCCAGTATACTTTGGTCACAATCAAAATCCATGGCAGACAATTAAAACGTAGTGTAACAAGTTCATATGTTGATGTGCTAGAAAGCAGCAAGTCCAAATTGAATGCTTTCAACTTGGCCGAGACAGTTACCCAAAAACACAAGATTTCAAAATAAGCATACCATGACAAACTTTGGATTTTACAATCAGCCTAAAAGCAGTTGTATATGCAAAGTTTGAAAAGCTTAAAATTGGTTTCAATAATTTCATTATAACAGGTTCCCCACAATATAAAGACTCTAAATGAGCAAGAGACCAAATGTGAAATTGAAAGGGCAAAGTTTCAACAAATCCTGTAAGCAACATAAGCATTTTGGTAGTATACATAATCTATACTGATGTTTTTCCAGTTTCATGAACAAACACAAGCTTCAAGATGGAGAAATGATAAACTTCTTAAAACATCATTCAAATCAGCCAGATATTCGACTATACAATTGAAATTGGTCTATCCCACAGCATACGTAATTCAGACAAAGGTTGAAAACGATAAACGAACATTCCATATAGAACTTAAGCTGAGATTTGCTTCACACAAACCATTCAATTGGTTTTACAAATCCACAAATTCTGCGGTTAAATATTAGTTTTCAAAATTGAAAATGACAAATAACGCAGAGAAATGAAATGTATAATCAACAGAAATTTATATTTGATTTCGCCTGTGGACAAACCAATAGAGGAACAAATTAACATCCAAAAGATTCCATAAACATAAAAAACCACTTCATACTAGTAAACCCTAATCTTAAAGGTACTTCAACTAGAGCAATATATCTAAACTGATCTTCAGCTGCTTGTAAACTTAGTCACCGCCTTTGTTCCCTCGGAAACGGCGTGCTTGGCCAATTCTCCGGGCAGTACAAGCCTCACCGCCGTCTGAATCTCCCTGGAGGTGATAGTCGGCTTCTTATTGTAGCGGGCAAGCCTGGACGACTCCTGAGCGAGCTTCTCAAAGATGTCGTTGATGAAGCTGTTCATGATCCCCATGGCCTTGCTGGAGATCCCGATGTCTGGATGAACTTGCTTCAGGACCTTGAAGATGTAGATCTTGTAGGTCTCGACGCTCTTCTTTGGCCTCTTCTTCTTCTTGTCGCCGGCAGCGGCGGCGTCCTTGGGGACCTTCTTCCCGGCCTTGGATGGCTTCTTTTCCGCCGCAGTTGTCTCGGCGGGGACGGTCTTCTTCTCCTCTGCTGGTTTCTTCTCGGCGACCTTCTTGTCTGCTGTTGCCTTTGGCGCCATTGTTATCGCAGTAAGATTACTCTGAAATGAAGAAATTGAAATTCTATAGAGATTTATCGCAGTGAAGAAAATAACAGAATGAGGAAGTAAAGGTTCGGTGATAAGTATATATAGGAGATCGGTCTGGAATCTAATTGGTTTGGCAATGCGGACGCGGATTGATGAGCTGGAACACGGGCGGGCGTTGGATAAGAAGATTACAATAAGATGGAAAATGAACGCGGAGGATTGAATAATCAAATTTTGATTCGCGCTTTTTAGAGGGCGGTAGGAGAACGAATGAGTTTTCGAGGATTTTGATTTCGCGCCTGAACTTTCAAAAGTACGTCGGATACAGTATACGGAGTATTTCAAAAGTTCATACGGAGTATTTATTTCAAATATTTTAAGAAGAACCCATTTGATGATTCAAATTTTCACTTTTATCGATCTACTCCGTATTATATTATCAAGCAAACAATTTATAAATTCAGTAATAAACAAAATTAGAAAGTTGGAATTCCTTTTCTGACAAGATTGAGTAAAGTTATTATAGAGAGTTATATTTTCATATGATACTTTCTTTATTTTATCAATAAAATATATGGAGTATGTCCTATTATAAAAGCAGTATAACTTTTTTATAATTCAGTACATCCAATTCAACCGTTTCAGTTAGAATTTTATTAATTTCATCAGAATTGACCAATGTAGCCAATTAATGTTATCAAACAAGCTCGATGACTTTATTTGATGTGGCTATCTCTTCAATTTTGAAATTTTAACAACTTATTAACAATTGTTTATTTTATTTCACAAACACAGTTTTCACTTTAACTCCTCTCAGTTGTTTTGCCTTTTGTTTGTCATCTCAACTAAAATAGTGGTGCCTCCGATTCCAAATTGAATCAAAATCGAAACTGGTCTACTGATTCGCAGTTTCAAATTTTGGGGAACTGGAACCGCACTATATAGATCATCATTTAGCATGGGGTCTTTCTATTCACAAACCCCAATTTGCTATCTACAGCCACCAAATTAAATAAATTGATTTAGTTTCCAAACTTGCCCTTAACATACAATCGACGCCACGAGTTCAATCTCTACTTTCTTTTCAACGAACATCCATGGCTCATTACAATCCCAAATAATTACAAATGAAAGTCACCAAAACACTAGTTTTCCATTAAAGAAGTTCCCCAGATCTTTGAAAACAGAGAATACGAAGGATGCAAAAGCAAACCATTCATTTTTTTTAATCCCAGTTGCAGCAAAATCCTACGTTTGTTGGAAGTCATTGAGCTTAGTTTCTTTTTCTTAAAGCAAATTCTAAGGGATCGAATCAATTTAAAGCCGACGTACAGAACTGCGATTGAAGAGATTGAGAGAACAAATCGCACAATTGAGACCCTCGTAAAAAAACATACGGAGTAGTTTAATAAGCAGACAGCCGAGCAAGCGGCTGCCAAAATAGATGGTCTTCTTGCTTCTCGTTAACATCCTTTGGGCTTATGCCGACCCGGAAATTTCTTCTCGGCGGCCTTCAAATCGGAGGTCTCCCAACGGTATCTGGACTGCATGCTTGTTGTTAACGACCTTCTCTGGCCTTCCATTAGACATTTATTTCCTTACGTTTTCGGGAAGATAGATTTTATGAATGCTAGATTCCATAGATTCTGGTAATTGGTCTTTGTCCATCTTGTTTATTCCCATTTAGATGTATGCGGCTTTGAGAGTTTGATAGCTAAGAGAGGATGAGATGGTGCAAACTTCACATCGGATTCTCGAATTAAATCAAAAGGCTAAAATCGGAATTCTTTAATTGAATTTTAGACGGAGGCTGTGAATAGGAAAAAAGTGGCTGTATTTAGAATTACCCTTTAGCATGTGTACTTATGGGCCCATGGGGGCCTACCCGACCCATTTGTCCAACAGCCCTGTCCAGCCCATAAGGGCCACAGACCGGCCCAATCCACTATTTGAAACCCGTCCCAGCCCATTTGTGACACTGTTCCAGGTTTGAACTTGGACTATTAATCCATTAATATTAAAGTTTAATTATAACAACAAATACTAATCATCTTGAGAGTGATTAGTAGACTTGATGAATATAATATTCATTTTGAAACTAGTTACTAGTTATATTAATCATATGAGAAATGTTCAATTGATTTAATTAACAGTGATTAATTAAATTGTGTACCGATTCCGAAAAATGGGGAGGGGCTAACTAATATTTATAGTTTCTCGGCAAAACACTAGTGATAATATTATAGATATATAGAAGGGAGAGCTAAGAGTTGGAGAGAAAAAGAGTTTTTGTTATTGTTGCACACAATATTGGTACTTGTTCTGTGGCTTTTTTTCTAAATACTTTTTCTAGGGGTGGAAGTGATGAGGCTAGTGTGGCTAGCTAGCAAAAGCTTTGAAGCTCTCACATGGTTAACGATTAGTCTCGCTCGTAATTGGGTGGACTATTCTGTGTCTAGTTAGAGAGTGTGAGGGCCGTTTGGCTACGCGAAGTCTCAGAGGGAGGCTTGGCTGTGTTTGGATGTTAAGTTGTTGATTGCTTTGATATCTATAATACGATAGTACTCCCTCCGTCCTTTAAAACTTTGTCATGTTTCCTTTTTGGGACGTCCCAAAAAACTTTGCCACCTTTCCTTTAATCAATTATTTTGTGGTTTCTGTTATTTCCTTTTCCTATGCATTAACCTCAACCACACAGTTTTTACTTTATTATTCTCCGTACTGGTCAACTTTGGCAAAGTTTCAAGGGACGGATGTAGTATAAGTTATTTCCTTAAAAAAACTATTTGGGCCATGCGTGCTCATATTTGCCATGTGCAGATATCGATTCCAAGTACATTGTTTTCCACTGTGTACTTGATTTGCTTTACTTATGATTGTTTATGGATGATATATGTTTGAACGACATGACACATTATATGATTCGAGTAAGCTTGACCGCGGTTCAATTATTCGGTTTGTACCACTACTAGAATTTTTGTCATTTGATGTTGTCCTTTTGCCGGTTTTAGCCATACCTACAGCAAAATGTTAATATTGAGAACTATTTGTGGCGGTTACTTAGGAACCACAACATTTTCTTCGGAAAATTTAGTGTATCTATTGCAGTCACAATGGAACCGCAACAATTAACATTTAAAATTTATAATAATTAATTACCTTTTGTTGCGGGTAAAGAACGAACGCAACAGTAAGGTGCTGTTCTGTTCGTCTTATTCTTATTACTTATTGCTTATTCTTATTTTATTCAGATTAGATCAGATCAGATCAGAAAGATTCAGATTAGATCAGAAAGATTCAAATCAGATCAGACCAGATCAGAAACATTCAGATCAGATCAGATCAGAAAAGTTCAAACATGATTTATCACTTTTATTATTATATTAAATATTAATTATTATTATTATTAATAATAATATTGTTATTACTATTATGATTATTATTATTATAATATAATTATTATTAATAATAATAATAATAATATGATAAAAAAGATATTAATAATAGTTATAATATTTTAATAAAATAATAGTAATATAAATGCAATTGTTAAGAAGACTATTATTATTATTATTATTACAATATAATAATAATAATATGATTAATATTATTATAATATTATATTATAATTATATGTAATTATAATTATAATTACAATTATAATTCTTATAATTATACGTATAATCAATTGTAATTATTATAATTATATCTATAATTAATTATAATTATAATTATAATAATTATCATTATAATTACAATCATAATTGTAATTATGATTATAATTATAATTATAATATATTATTATAATAATATAATACTAATTATAATAATAATCATATTATTATTATTATATTATTGTAAAAATAATATTAATATAATAATATCGTTATAATAATATTAATTGTATTTATATTACAATTATTATATTATAATATTATAATTAATGTTAATATAATTATAATTATTATTAATTATAATTATAATAATTATAATTATAATTATAATTATATTATAATTATAATTTATGATTATAATTATTATTTTTATTATAATTATTAATATTAATATTTTTATTATTATTACTATTGTAATTATTTTGCAGAGTAATTATAATAATATTGATAACTATAGTTACAATTATAGAGATAAATATTGTAATTATAATTACAATTATAATTATATAAGTAATTATAATTAAAAATATAATTTCAATTATAATTATATCTATATTTATAATTAGTGTAATAGGTATAATTTTTTTCATTTTAAATTTAATTTTAATTATTATTATTATTATTATAGTTACGATTATAATTATAATTTTATTTAAATTATATTTGTAATTGCAATTATAATAATTATAATTATAATTATAATTATAATCATAGAAATATTCAAATCAGATCAGATCGGAAAGATTCAGATCAGATCAGAAGGATTCAGATCAGATCAGAAACATTCAGATCAGATCAGGCCAGATCAGAAATATTCAGATCAGATCAGAAAGATTCAGATCAGATCAGATCAGAAAAATTCAGATCAGATCAGATCAGATCAGATCAGAACTTAAAAAATTCAGATCAGAAACATTCAGATCAGGCGAAGAGAACAGCTTCTAAGTCCTAAAAAACTAGATAACTTTGTTGCGCTCGTCTTTACCCATGCGTAAGTACGTAACCTCCATTTTAGTTCAGATCCGTTTGCAGTCTTCTACCTCCACCGGCACTTACTCGCGCCAATCGTCAGCACCTACTCGCGTCGATCATCAGCCTTTCCCAGCTGCAGTCGCCGCACGTCGCCCCTCCCAGACGCATCCGCCACACACTGCCCCTCTCAGATGTAGACGCCGAACCCAGGGGCGGATCTAGCATTTGCGTTGAGGTGGGGCCAAATTTTAATTAGCGATACGTAATTTATTTTGCAAAAAATGTTAAAATTACAAGATTTAGTTATATAATTTTACACAAGTGTCAAAGAAAAAATAATAAATATTACAAAACCGAAAATTTTATTATCTTAAAAGAGTCATAGATATCTAACCGAAATTGGCTTGTGTCGGTTAATGACGTGTTCAATACCAATTTTCAAATTGATTTCTCCAAAATCAATTTTCTTTTGACTCCATGTCTATGCTTTATGTAAAAAAGTAAACTAATTAAATTTCACCGACCAAGCAGAATGAATTGAACTTATTAACTTTTCAAATCAATATTCAATTGTCCAATGATGTGAACTAATTAATTTTTTAGACTAATATTCGAAATTCTAATGAATCGAATTAATTAATTTTTCAAGCTAATATTCAAAAGCCAAATGATTTGAACTATTTATATTTTGCAGACCAATTACCCAAAGCCCAACAATTTGGACAGTGATTTAAAAAATTTACTCATGTTGCATTGAAAAATTATAAATATGGTGCCCAGGGGACTCGAACCTGACTCCTTTTGTTGCATAATTAGTGTGCTTCCATTGGACCAACTTGACTAATGTTAACAAATTGACATTAGCTTTTTATATATCATAACTACTAAAACATTATATATTAATATATACATAGTATATATATGCAAATAATTATATTTTTTTGAGCATGGGCCTAGGCCCACCCTGGCCATGGGCCAGATCCGCCCCTGGCCGACCCCCCCCCCCAGTACAGTCCTTTCCCGGCTCATATTGGTTCGATAGAGGTTTATTTTAGTTTCCAACCTTTTATTTTTACATTTAATTTTTTAATTTTATTTATATGAATTGATTGAATTAGTATTGATACTTGTTTGGATAACATTAATGAGTATATATTTTTTCAAATTGAAAATATAATCAATTCTAGACATCAAATTTTACTTATTTCAATTTTAATATTGCTAATTTTTTCAGGGGTCATAACGTTTACTGGTAATATATCAAACCGAAGGTATTTCCGTGCTTTATGTTCTTAGGCTTTCAAGGAGGTCGGCTAACCACCCTAACCCCTTGGCTCCGTCCCTAATGTCTGCACTTCCTCTTTCTTAAAACCCATCACAAGCACACATTTAAATCTAGTGGTTCATTTATTACATGGAATTAAGGACGACCCATAGCAAGTGTAGGCAATCTAATGACACAAGGCCCAAGAAAAAGTGAAGGCCCAAAAGAATTATTGTACTATTATTAGTATAATATAAGGGAATTTTTCAGAAGTAGCCTAAAAAGTGAAAGTTATATGAGTTTTTCACCTTTTAAACTTTCTTTCAAAAATAAACTACAAAAGAAATCCTTTTCAATAATAGACCGTGGCCACTAACCTGCTTGTTAAGTAACGTTGTTAAGTTATGGATTGTCGAATTGTACACGGAAGATAGAAAAGCCACTTGCCAACTTTTTTTGAATAAACACTTACGTGTAACCTTTATGCTCTATAATTAGACTTGCATATTTCATACTAGTATTTTTAAAACATTAGAAGGAAAAAATGAAAAAATGATATAAAAGTATCAACAAACAGGTTAAAAGGTAAAAGGTATTAAAAATACAATACATGTATAAAAATTATAAAGGTTGCAATCAATAAATAATTTATTAAAATACATACAGTAAAATAAAATAAAATAAAATAAAAAGGGAAAAGTACAACAAATAAATACTTATAAATGGAGAAAAAATATAAACAAATGCTCTGTACGTAGTATGTAAATAAGATAACAATGTTTTGGAACTATTTAAAAATGCTTAAAGTAATTATAAATTTTTATGAAAGAGTAATGTTTTTGTAAATTGGATATATATTCAAAGTAAAAATAAAAAAATCAAAATTATTATCATAAAATAAAAACGTTAAAGAAATTCAAAAAATATACGAAGTATAAGATTTTTAAGCATTCAAAAAATGTAATTAGATTTCGTATAAGTAAAATAAAAGTAGAAAACAAGATTTTTAGAATTATTTAAAAATAACAAATTAAAGTAAACTAAAAATCGTGTAAATTAAATGAAGTTGTAAATAAAAATGTCAAAAAACGAAATTATTAAAAAAAGTGGAAAAAATATATATACTATGTATAAGTTTGTAATGTAATATTCTAATAATAGTTACACAATTCAATAATTATTAGTTGTTGCATATTGTTCTTTGAGTTTTTTTTTTGTTTCTTTTTTGTTAATAACTTTGAATTTTTTGGTTTTAATTCTTGCTTCATATTTCTTGTGATTGTTGACATACAAAAGTCAAAATTTTCATGTAGGTGTTTCTATATATATGTGGTTATGAGCTTTTTCACCAATGAACCTTATGACCTAGCAGTGATAATTACAAACCTAAGTAAATAATAAAAAAATATGAAGAACAAAAAGAAATTCACAAGATGCAATAAAGAGCAAAAAGATGCAACAAAGACCAATAATACTATGCAACAAAGAGAAACAAGATGCAACAAAAGCAACATATGCACAATAATAATAATAATAATAATAATAAGCAACAAAAAAATATGAAAGTTTTACAACAAATGTATATTTCAATCTACTATATTTATCTATTATAAATTTATAACATTTGATTCAATTCTTCTACTTTCGTGTGTTTCATCTTTATACACATTTCACCAGGGTTGTCTCTCTTTTCTTTGTTCCTCGTATATCTTCTCACCCTCACCATCTTTATGTACATATTTTTTTAGAATGCACCTGCGATGAGAATGCGATAATTATGACACGAAATCATAATCAATTATTACCAAAAATCATTCCACTTTTTAGGTCAAACATATACAACAATATATACAACACAAATCCGGTTCAATTAGAAATATTGATGTATATATACACATATACAACAGTATATGGTACAATAAAATAAACAAACAATGGGAAACAAAAAGAAATATGATACAACAATAAGCAACAAAAAAAGTGACACCATGCAACAAAGAGCAACAAAAAAATCATTTGATCAACGAATACATAATTTAATCTGTATTTTCATGTTTAAGGCGAGAACTATCCTTATAATATAACAATATTAAATAATATACCATTAAATTGGGCTTATAGTGCGTAGTAATATACATTTACATAGGGGTGAAAAAACGAAAACTCGAAACCGACACAGTGAGCACTTCCTTCCCAATAGAACGAGTATGCTATATTTCACTTTGTGCTTCACAAATTCAAAGTTGGGAGCTGTATCTTTAATCTTGTAATTGAATCAAATTGAAGAGGTTTCATGTCAAATTAACTATCAAATAATTTCAGCCTATCAAATAACCCACATCAGTTATTAAACATTGTCAATCTCCTAACTAATTAACTCATATATCATCAGAATGAATTAGTCAATTAATGGAGGCAGCAATTCATATAGCTCCCCAATTCGCAAAAATGATTAATTAAATGCCTACAAACAATTGATCAGAAACCATCTTAAAGATGCAAGATGCACAACTAGGGGTTGTCCTCTTTTGACCTCGGTGTCTGAAAAATGAAGACATTACTTTGAAGTTCTAAAACTAATAAAAGTACTAGTTGAAGTTGTGCAATAGAATGATGGAAGAGATAAAATGTACACTCCCCCATGAAAAATAAGTAAGATGCTTTTAACCCCAATCAAGAAAGCTAATACAATGGAAACAACTAACTAGTGCTACACTTGGAAATATTGAGACTATTTAGACTCAGATGCAAGCAAATAGATATCATTGCTAAAAGCTATCTATGTAACTATAACAAGCGGGTATCCATTACCTGAACTGATTAAACAATGGCCAGAAGGTTATTGTACTATTGATCATCCAACATGCAACGAACAATATTGTTTGAAAACTTTTACATCTCATTGAGTAGAGATGAAAAAAATGTCACATGCCACTTCAATGCTTTGCATTTTTTAGCACACTAGTAAATTCAGTTTGTTCTAGCAAATTAGCTAAAAACAAAATACTTAGCATTTAAATTAATATATATTGAAAACTATTACTCTCAGGAGGGTTTAGGAAGTGCTTACAAATCAAAAGGATTCTTACTCCAACTATAATTTCACGGTTGATGAGGCATGAGTAAAACTCAAAATCTCCTCTTTGATTTTTTCCTTCTCCCAGGACAGGAACCTTCCCAGGACAAAATTGTATTCACTATTTTTAGCTACTGCCACAGACTACGTTCATGAGAGAGTCTCAATGGTCTAGATGAAGAAACAATTTTAACAAGTGCTGAGAGAGTCTCAATGATCTGTCTAGATGAAGAAACAATTTAACAAACAAATGTTTGAAAAAGAAAGATGAAAATAAACACATATATGCAAAGAGATTAAAAAATCACTATAACAATTATGGCAAACACAATGGTTAATGTTAAAAATGACCTGTTAGCCTTCTTCGAATCAATGGAGGAGAAGAACACAGAACTCACAAAGCCACAATCATCTCCGCAAGCAAAAAAAAAATTGGAAACCTGCAAACAAAAAGCTAAACGAAATAGTTTAATTACAGTTTAAAGTGAAAACTGTCATGGATTATTAGCTCTAGTCTAGGGGATACAAATTACTTGTCAAAAACAGGAGTTAATGTTATTTACAAAAAAATCTTATAATCCTAAGAAAAACTTGTTCAAATTGGAGATCCAAGTGATGAATTGAAATGTCCATACCCGCAAACCGGAAACCAACACACATTTACACCGTGATTCAACGAGCACCGGAGAAGCCGAGCAAGCAAAGGCCGAGGGCAGAGGATGGAAAACAGAGCCGCAGAGGACAGAGGGCGGAGCCGCAGAGGGTGGAGGGCGGATACGCGGACGGCGGACGGCGAAGGCGCAGCTGGCATTGGGCGGAACCTCCATACACGTCTCCGATCTGTGAAATGATATCTGGTTGGGTTTTTTATCTAAGACTTAGGTCATTTTTGAAATTTAAAATTAAAAGTGAAAAAGTGAAAGTCTATAAATGAAAAGTAAATTCTGAGGACACGTAAACAAAATGCAATTAGAAAACATGGACTTCACGGGATATTTCCACTTAATATAATTGGTTCAAGTGGGAAAATGCCCATTATAAACTAAAGTTTGGGTAGGAGACTGGAGAGTACTACTGTCATGGCAGCCCAACACCCAAGCCTATTCCCAATTCCCCAGTAATATTTTTTTTGAAAGAAACCAAATTTTATTAAAAGGATTGAAGACAATTCCCTAGTAATAGTAATACTACGTAATTAATAAGGAATTTATTAAACAAATAAATACATCTCAACCCGTAAGAGACTACCGAGTACATGGCAAATTAGATCGTGGGATCGGCACACCATGCACATGATGTACGGATCTCAATACGGCACCGTTTCTTTAATTAAAAACAACGTAGTCAAATATTCTTCTCACGTTTGACCAGCTTTTATTCTCCGATCCGTCAATCCATTTTTTCCTCCAACACCATACCGTTTTCACACACAACTTCCTTCCCCCAGTTTTTTTCTTCTTCGCACAATTTTTTTAATACAAAGAATTGAAAGTTCGAATGTTGAAATCGAGTAGCCATGCTTCCAGTTTTCCACGATCTTTCCCTTCCCTGCTTTCACTTCGTTTTCCATTGTAATGCTTTCTTATATGATTCTCTTTCTTCTTTTTTACTTGTTTTCATTTTCATTTATCTTCATCCCATTATTAAAATATTAAAATGTGATTACAATTATATTTTTCTACAATTTTTTTATGTGAAGTAATTTCTTATCTCTTTTATATGTTTTCTGTGACACCACTCCCGATTGAACTTGGATTATTTATCCATTAAAATTAAAACTCAATTAAACTATAAATACTAATAAAAACAAGAATGATTAGTATAATTAATGAGTATAATATTCTTTTTGAAACAAGTCACTAGCTATATTAATCATGTGAGAAGTGATTAATTGATTTAATTAACAATGATTAATTAAATGGTGTATCGACCCTGAAATATGGGGAAGGACTAACTAATATGTTCTTGACCCATATTATTTATTTAATATGCCAAGAACAATGGAAGGATTAATATATAGAAATATGAGCCAAAATAATAGGGAAGAAGTAACCCAATAAGTGATTGAGCCGAACTTACTAATAATAGAAATATAGCGCGTATCGGGCTTGGATTATTGGGAGGACTAACCAATATATTTTGGGTCCAACCTATTAATATTTAATAGCCCAATATAATATAAATCAAAGTTTATATCTCGTTTGGGCCGAATTAAAATGGGATGGGCAGCCCAAGAGACCCATAGCCCAACTTTCCTAAATTAGAAGGATAAGAGGGAGTAGACCATTGTCCTCCTCCCATTTGTGGAGGAAACATGAGCTAGCAGTAACAAGCTTCTAAGGACAAGGAGAAAAGGGGAGAAGAAAGAAAAGGAATCCTTAAGAAGAAGAACGTGAGCTAGCGGTAACAACTCTAGACTCTCGGTTCCATTTCTTCCATTTATACATTCCATATACATGGATTCATTTGATGGATTATAGATGTTGTTCTACATGTTAAAAGTGTAGAATATTGATATAAAGTGATGGTATTTAAATTAGAAGGGTCGTGGAATCGATAGGAGTTGAAACTGCCGGAAACCGCCATTGTTGGGGACTGTTTTCGAGCTGCGGGCCCGAAAGCCGCCCACCTTTTGCAAAAGCCGCTCGAGTTTTGGCTTCTGTCCAGCTGGTTCGTTTTTTTCGGTCCATAACGGGGGATAACCGAAAGGCTTCACAAAGGCAGCTAGTTAAGCACATCATAAGGTGATGATGACTGACTATATTGTTTATAACTAGTGAGTTAATTCATCAGATTACCTAATTTATAAAAGCATGATTTTAATTAATCATTATGCCTAATAAAATGTCAATTGATCATATTGTTGTATATGAAGAGTTAATGCATGATTGGTTGAACTACGAGTAATTGGAGCATGATTACTTGCTATATTTGAAATGTTGTTGTTCTAGTTGATTTAGTGATGAATTAATAAAATGATTTATTAATCACTATTTAATTGTATTGACTTTATGGTTAGTAAAGTCAATATGGAATGAATTGAGAATGAGTCATGGCGTGGCTGCCATGTTCGTTTGAAAGGGAAAGACAAATAAAACTAAGAATAACTCGGGTAGTACTAAGTGACTAGCCCGAGGTTGTAGCTAGTATGAACATTGATAAAATTGATCTTGAGTTTAGGATTGTGATGCTTTGTTACTAGGGTATTCACTTGGGATAGCCTTAGATGATTTAAATGTTATATTGATCCTAGAATTGGATTGTTGATGTTATTTTTCGGGTGATCTTTGGGATACCCGTAATTGATTGTTTGATTGGTAGCAAGGCCCATGGCTTGGCTCTAGTCTAAGGATAGATGTCCGACCACATGAACTTGCTAAAGGATAGATGAGGCTCATGGGTCGGTCGAGTCAAAGGATCGTACCCGACTGCATGGACTCGTAATAGAATAAATTTAAGGACCATGACCCTGCCCGACTCTAGAGAGCGTGTTGGATATCATGGACTTACGGCGTGATCACATATAGGAGTGGAATCCGAATCGAAGACCTAGCGAGGCCCTGACAGTGGTAACACATAAGATAGGACCCTGAATGGGCCTTTCCTTCCCACGGGAACAAGGTATGAGTCTAGGGGGCAGGATGGTGGACTCCGACCAAGTGCCCCGCGGGGACTTCAATAATGGTGACAGGTCCTGTATGATTGATGTGACATTTGGGTTGAATTGTATGAATTATTAATGTAATGAATTATCGCAGGACGATACAAATTGTGTTGGTCCCTGATAGAGGTAAAAGTCTAGAGGGGGGGGGGGGGGGGGGTGAATAGACTTTTAAGGATTTTTCTATTTTAAAAACTTTTCCCTTCTAGATGAGTTGATCTAAAATCTTTTGGGAGATTTATAGATGCACAGCGGAAGTCTTTAACCTCTAGATAATTAATGTGTGACAACTTTCTAGTTTGAATGATGTTTGGACTTTGAACAGTGAGCAGTTAGCTTGACAGTTGCCTGGATGGCAGGGAGCTGCTGAGGCAACTGCTAGTGGAAAATAGGAATTTGGGAGAGATGATTATATGTCCTTGTACAGAATGATGAGGGCTTACTGAATATGTGCTGAGCTGGAGATGATAAGGGGTTTTGCCTGAGCAGAGGTCTGAGCAGTTGGATAGACCCAGGAAACTGCTAAGCCACCTGCTGTGTATGAAAGAAGTATTTCTTAGAACTGGCAAACCAGACCTTTTAGTAGTGGTATTCCAAAGTTCGTGTGAAACAGTTGTCTCAAGGAAAAGCAAGTTATTAAGCAGTAGGATAAGCAGTAGAGTCAATTAAGACAACTGCTTAGGATGCTGCTGGCAAACTACGATCCCTTTAGTGAGAAGTGTCGGGTGTGTGCTCTGTTGAGTAAAAGTAAATCAACACACGGTATATCCTGGTTCAGAGGTGGTGTAATCCTCCTACATCCAGTCCCACCCTCTTTCAGATAGATTTCCACTAAAGTATTAAGCCCAATACACTTAGTGTCAATCTAGCCTTTACAACACTTAGGCCTAGATTGAAGGTGTTTCACAATGAGTATAGCACCACTCAAAGCTACTCAATCCTTTAGACTTTTCTCAATTGATCCAGTGGGGATCAAAAGGTACTCTATCTATCTATCTATCTATCTATCTATCTATCTATCTATCTATCTATCTATCTATCTATCTATCTATCTATCTATCTATCTATCTATCTATCTATCTATCTATCTATCTATCTATCTATCTATCTATCTATCTATCTATCTATCTATCTATCTATCTATCTATCTATCTATCTATCTATCTATCTATCTATCTATCTATCTATCTATCTATCTATCTATCTATCTATCTATCTATCTATCTATCTATCTATCTATCTATCTATCTATCTATCTATCTATCTATCTATCTATCTATCTATCTATCTATCTATCTATCTATCTATCTATCTATCTATCTATCTATCTATCTATCTATCTATCTATCTATCTATCTATCTATCTATCTATCTATCTATCTATCTATCTATCTATCTATCTATCTATCTATCTATCTATCTATCTATCTATCTATCTATCTATCTATCTATCTATCTATCTATCTATCTATCTATCTATCTATCTATCTATCTATCTATCTATCTATCTATCTATCTATCTATCTATCTATCTATCTATCTATCTATCTATCTATCTATCTATCTATCTATCTATCTATCTATCTATCTATCTATCTATCTATCTATCTATCTATCTATCTATCTATCTATCTATCTATCTATCTATCTATCTATCTATCTATCTATCTATCTATCTATCTATCTATCTATCTATCTATCTATCTATCTATCTATCTATCTATCTATCTATCTATCTATCTATCTATCTATCTATCTATCTATCTATCTATCTATCTATCTATCTATCTATCTATCTATCTATCTATCTATCTATCTATCTATCTATCTATCTATCTATCTATCTATCTATCTATCTATCTATCTATCTATCTATCTATCTATCTATCTATCTATCTATCTATCTATCTATCTATCTATCTATCTATCTATCTATCTATCTATCTATCTATCTATCTATCTATCTATCTATCTATCTATCTATCTATCTATCTATCTATCTATCTATCTATCTATCTATCTATCTATCAACACTTTAGGATCCGAACAACTGTTCTCCTAAGTGTTTACAGCAATTTGTGATTAGTTTACAAGAAAGTTCTAACCTCCAACTATGAACTAAGCTCTAAAAGTATGAAAGTGTTGATCTAATCTAAGAGCTTAGTGAAGCATGAGTGTAAGCAGAGAGTAAAGTTGAGTTTGCACTTTCTCTTTTACTAGATAGCTCGTATATGCTTTGAT